CAAACTCTAGAGGGGAGAGACCAGAGAGGGGGAACTTCTGAGAGAGATTTTTTGGGCTAAGCTTCATATTTGGGAGTATTTTTTGGTTGAATCTTAACTTTTTACAGTTTGGGAGGGGATTCATCTCGCTCTTTCTGAGGGGTTGTTTCCTGAATCTCGATGGTTTGGGTTTTTCTGGGCTGAATCTTAGTGTTCTGGAGGTTTTTATGGACACAGGATGCCTGGTGAGTTCTAGAGATGGACTTGGGCAGGAGAAACCCCCAAGCCAAGGCACTCAGCCCTTGTTTTCTCTCCCCATCAGGATTTGTCCTTCCCAAAGCTTGGGCGGATGGAGGAGGAGGCTGTGAGGAAGAGGAAGATGCCGTGGGCCCCCCAGGCAGGTGAGGAGGAAGTCAGTGGCCCTTTGGGCCGGTGTTGTGCTGGCTCTGGCAGCCGAGCATGGCCCCCGACTGCAGGACAACCCCGCTGCCGCCGCCGTCCTGCCGGGGCCGGAGTTGGGGGGATGTCCTTGGCCTTTCCTCTGGACCGGAGGCAAATCCCCTCCCTGTCCTTCTTGCTTCCTGCTCCAGGCCCCGAGCTGAGGACGGAGAGCCCGGAGGACAAATCCCCCCAGCAGAAGCTGGTGGGAGAGGCCGTTTTGAAGGGCTCCACGGTGCAGGAAGGCAGCAGGGAGGAAAAGGTCCGGAGATCCCTGCAGAGGAGGGGCTCCAAAGCCAGCCCAGGGTGCTCTGAGGAGGAAAGAGCCAGCCTGTGCTGGGAAGGCGGCCAGAGCTTGAGGCGGAGCTCTGACCTGGTGGTCCCTGAGCAGCCTCCCAGCAGGCAGAAGCCCTTTAAGTGCTTGGAATGTGGAAAGAGCTTTAGGAAGAGCTTCAACCTCCTCACCCACCAGCACATCCACACTGTAGAACGGCCCTACCCATGTGGGGAATGTGGGAAGAGCTTCAGCCAGAGGTCCCACCTGATGCGACACGAGATGATCCACACTGGGGAACAGCCCTATTTATGTGGGGAATGTGGGAAGAGCTTCAGGGACAGCTCTGACCTGATCCAACACCAGCGCATCCACACCAGGGAACGGCCCTACACATGTAGGAAATGTGGGAAGAGCTTCAGGCACAGCTCCACCCTCCGCACCCACACTGGGGAACGGCCCTACACGTGTGGGGATTGTGGGAAGAGCTTCATTGACAGCTCCACTCTCTGCACCCACCAGCGCATCCACACTGGGGAATGGCTCTACACATGTAGGGAATGCAGGAAGAGCTTCAGTGACAGGTCCACCCTCCGCACCCACCAGCGCATCCACACTGGTGAACGACCCTACACGTGTGGGGATTGTGGGAAGAGCTTCAGCTGGAGCTCCAACCTCATCACCCACCAGCGCATCCACACCAGGGAACAGCCCTATATGTGTGGGGAATGTGGGAAGGGCTTCAGCCAGAGCTCCAGCCTCCACATTCACCAGCGCGTCCATACCGGGGAACAGCCCTTCAAGTGCTTGGAATGTGGGAAGAGGTTTCAGACCAGATCCAATCTCCTCCTGCACCAGCGGATGCACACGGATGAGAGGCCCTTCCGCTGCACTGACTGCGGGAAGGGCTTCAAGCAGAACTCCCACCTCGTCACGCACCAGCACATCCACACGGGGGAGAGGCCCTACAAGTGTGGGGAGTGTGGGAAGAGCTTCATCCACAGCTCTGCCTTGACCAGACACCAACAGACCCACCAGTAAGGGAAGCCCTACCAGTGCCTCAACTGGAGGAAGAGCTTCGGCTGCTCCTTGCACCCCGAATGAACCCCCTGATGGTGAGGCAACCCCTGGAGTCCAGTGACTGTCAGTCCATCCCTTTCGACCACAAAGGGCCAGTCCCCTTTCCCTGGGGCAGGTTCTGCCAACAGAACCCTTCTTGGGGGGTGTGTGGAGATTCCTGCCTTGGCTGGGGACCCCCCCAAGGTCAGTCCTGGAGGTTGAGAGCAGAGATTTCCCCATGAGCGTTGGTGTGGGGGAGTTCCATCCATCTCTAATTAAGAATTATTGCTTTTGTGCCAGCTTCAGTAGAAATGCTTCAACAATTACTTTAGTGTAGAGCACTGTCCTATCTTATCCTGTACTCCTGGTAGTTTCAGTGTTTCTATTGTGCAGTAAATAATTGTGATGAAGGTCTCTTGTTTGATCGTTTGTAACCCTAAATCATTTGTATCAATAGATCTGATTTGCCATCATTAAAACCTTGGGGCCAAAGTGGTTCAGTCACACCTCTAATTCCTCCAAACTGAAAGTGTTGGCATAATGCAAGGCTGAGATTGGATCCAGCAGCCCCCAGCACCCCACAGTAAGTTTGGAGCTCAGTGTGTAAGTTTTGTTGCTGACTCTCCACAAAATTGCCGAGACCCAGCGAAAAAGCCTAGTCCCCCGAGAGGGAAGGAAAAAAACCCAAACAGCCAAAGCTAGAGCAAAAATATATATTTACAATTATATGTACAATTTGAATGTATTGTACACACGACTGGGAGCTCCCGAGGGGGGGGAAAAACGGGAAGGGGAAACAGGGATAAAAAAACCCCTAAAACAAATATCCTCCAAATATACACCATTTCTATAGAGCTAGCGAATAAATACAAAAAATGAATTAAATACTTCCCTGAACAAGACATCAGAACTGTGCGAAGCACCAACCAACTCCCCCACACCTCCCGAAGAGACTGGAGATAACGGCAGGTCTTAGCAGTAGGCCCTGGCCTATACAAGCAAAGACTGTCTGTGGAGAGACCTGTCGCCTTCAGCCACCGGGGGAGAGAAGAGAGCGAGCTCTCTTATCTGTGCCTTTTTACATGTTATGTTATGGAAATGGATGATATGGAATACTTCCTTAGCTTTCTGACCCTGTTGCTAAGGAAGGCCTAAAAAATCCAAAAGCCAACCCACTACATTCTCCACCTCTTATTCCATTTAATTTCTTTACGTAACACTTATATCTCGCACGTATCTATACATATATATATAGTCCTTGTTTAGTGGTTAGCATGCGGCACTCTCACCGCTGCGACCCAGGTTCGATTCCTCGTCCCCCGGGCAGATGGAGCTCGTTAGCCCTGTGAGGTCATCCATCTATGAGAAGGTCACTCTAAACAAACCTATGTCCTGAGGACCTCACTGCCATTGTCCAAGCTTGCTTGGCCCCGGTAGATGAACCTTAGGATTAAAGGGTGGGCTCAGTTCAGTGCATGCTGTGTCTCACCTAAAAAATCCATTGCGCAGGCTTGAAAGGTAAAAGACCTTTCCCAAAATCTTCGTTCGCGAAGACTGGCCATACTTACTTCAAAGCTGTTGTCTGTCGTTGAAGATCAGCACCAACAGCAGCTCAGTTTGGATCCTTGGCCCTTTCGTCACAATCACAGTTCTGGTTTTAGGGCTGGTTCACTGCTCTGGGTTGTCTCGTCATTGGATACTGACATCCGCTTTGTCCAGGTCTTTCTCATCTGGTGTCTGATCTCCTGTAAAACACAACTCAAGGCACAGCATTAGTTTTTCCCCAAGGTTAGATTTCATTGAGGCACACACTGGATTTCTCCATCCTTCCTTATAACCCACCAGGTATATCCTGGCCGTTGAGTGAAAACAATCCCACGAATGGTCTTGTCTTGGCCTGAGGCAGGAGTAACCCAAACAGCCTTACCTAACATACTTCTCAGATGGATCGCTGGAACTTTGTCTCCATCTACAGTGTGGAGGGATTCTGCTTGGGCAGGGCCAACTCAATTGACAGAGCCTCTAGTGTTAACTAGCCAGGTGGCCTTGGCTAAGTGCTTATCCCGGTTTTTGAAAGTTCCCCCACCTAGTGCGTTCAGAGTTGTCTTTACCAGTCCATTACACCTTTCAACTTTCCCAGTAGCGGGTGCATGATATGGAATGTGATATACCCATTCAATACCATGCTCCCGTGCCCAAGTGGCCACTAGACTGTTCTTGAAATGAGTCCCACTGTCTGACTCAATGCGCTCTGGAGTGCCACGTCTCCACAGGATCTGCTTCTCGAGACCCAGAATGGTATTTTGGGCTGTTGCATGTGGTACTGAATATGTCTCTAACCATCCCATGGTTGCTTCCACCATGGTAAGCACATAGCATTTACCTTGGCGCGTCTGTGGCAACATGATGTAATCAACCTGCCATGCCTCTCCGTATTTATACTTATCCCAGCGTCCACCATACCACAGGGGCTTCAGTCTTTTTGCCTGCTTAATAGCGGCACAGGTTTCACAATCATGGATAATTTGAGGAATGGTATCCATGGTTAAATCCACCCCTCGGTCTCGTGCCCACCTGTGGGTGGCATCTCGACCCTGATGACCTGAAGCATCATGGGCCCATCGAGCTTGGAACAACTCTCCCTTCTGCTGCCAGTCTAGGTCTACTTGTGACACTTCGACCTGTGCAGCTTGGTCCGCTTCTCTGTTGTTATCGTGTTCTTCATTAGCTCGACTCTTGGGCACATGGGCATCTACATGGCGGACTCTCACATTAAGACTCTTCGCTCTGACAGTGATGTCCTGTCACAAGTCTCCAGCCCAGATGGGTTTTCCTCCACGGCTCCATCTTCTTCCATCGGTCTAACCATCCCCGTATGGCATTAGCGATCATCCACGAGTCAGTGTAAAGGTAGAACCTTGGCCATCCTTCTCTTTCTGCAATGTCTAGGGCCAATTGGACAGCTTTGAGTTCCACAAACTGATTTGTTTCGCTTTTACCTTCAGTGGCTTCCGCCACTCATCGGGTGGGACTCCAAACGGCTGCTTTCCACTTCCGGCTCCTCCCTACAATACGTCAGAAACCATCAGTGAAAAGGGCATAGCGCGTCTCTTCATCTGACGGCTGATTATATGGCAGAGCTTCTTCAGCTCGACTCACTGGCTCTTCTTCTTCATCTGCCAGACTGAAGTTCCCACCTTCAGGCCAATTAGTTATAATCTCCAAAATTTCAGGGCGATTCGAGTTCCCGATTCGGACACGTTGCGTAATCAAAGCAATCCACTTGCTCCATGTGGCATCGGTAGCGTGAGGGATAGAGGGCACCTTCCCTTTGAACATCCAGCTCAACACTGGTAATCGGGGTGCCAGGAAGAACTGTGCTTTAGTACCAGTTACCTCTGAAGCTGCTCCTATGCCTTCGTACGCTGCTAAGATTTCCTTCTCCATAGGGGTGTAATTGGCCTCAGAACCTCTGTAGCTTCGGCTCCAGAAACCCAGTGGTTGCCCTCGTGTCTCACCAGGCACCTTTTGCTAGAGGCTCCATGAGGGACCTTTGTCTCCAGCTGCAGTGTAGAGCACATTCCTTACATCTGGTCCCATCCTGACTGGTCCAAGAGCCACGGCATGTGCAATCTCTTACTTGATCTGCCTGAAAGCTTGCTGTTGTTCAGGATCCCACTGGAAGTTGTTCTTTTTACCGGTCACAAAGTAAAGAGGGCTCACAATCTGGTTGTACTCTGGGATGTGCATCCTCCAGAAGCCTATGGCTCCCAGAAAAGCTTGGGTCTCTTTCTTGTTTGTTGGTGGAGCCATTGCTACAATCTTACTGATTCCATCTGTTGGTATCTGGCGTCATCCATCTTGCCGTTTCACCCTAGGAACTGGATCTCTCAGGCAGGTTCCTTGACCTTACTCTTCTTCATGGTGAAACCGGCCTTGAGGAGAATCTGGATAATCTTCTGTCCTTTCTCAAATACTTCTTCTGCTGTGTTTCCCCATACAATGATGTCATCGATGTACTGGATATGTTCTGGAGCCTTACCCTTCTCTAGTGTGGCCTGAATCAGTCCATGGCAGATGGTTGGACTGTGCTTCCACCCCTGGGGCAGTCGATTCCAGGCATATTGAACGCCCCTTCAGGTGAAAGCAAACTGTGGCCTGCACTCTGCCGCTAAGGGAATGGAGAAAAACGCGTTGGCAATGTCGATGGTGGTGTACCGCTTTGCTGTCTTGGACTCCAGCTTGTACTGGAGCTCCAACAATTCTGGCACAGCAACACTTAATGGTGGCGTGACTTCATTTAAGCCACGATAGTCCACAGTCAGTCTCCATTTGCCATCGGACTTAGGTACAGGCCAAATGGGGCTGTTGAAGGGTGAATGGGTTCTGCTGACTACCCCGTGGCTCTCCAACTTCCAGATCATCCTATGGATGGGGTTCACATGCAGGAAGAGCTTTGGCCGCTTCTTCCACCCCGAATGAGCCCCCTGAGGGTGAGGCAACCCCTGGAGTCCAGTGACTGTCAGTCCATCCCTTTCAACCAAAAAGGGCCAGTCCCCTTTCCCAGGGGCAGCTTCTTACAACAGAACCCTTCTTGGGGGGTGTGTGGAGATTCCTGCCTTGACTGGGGACCCCTCCAAGGTCACTGCTGGAGGCTGAGAGCAGAGATCTCCCCACGAACGTTGGTGTGGGGGAGTTCCATCCATCTCTACTTAAGAATTATTGCTTTTGTGCCAACTTGAGTAGAATTGCTTCAACAATTGCTTTAGTGTAGAGCACTGTCCTATCTTATCCTGTACTCCTGGCAGTTTTAGTGTTTCTACTGTGCAGTAAATAATTGTGATGAAGATCTTTTTTCTGATCATTTGGAACCCTAAATAAATTCATTTCTGTCAATAGATCTGATTTACCTTCATTAAAACCTGGGCGACAAAAGTGGTTCAGTCACACCTCTGTAATTCCTTTAAACTTCAGCTGTTGGCATAATGCAAGGCTGAGATTGGATCCAGCAGCCCCCACCACCCCACAGTAAGTTGGGAGCTCAGGGGGGCCACCCCCTTTCCCAGCCCCCTGTGCCCAAAGACCCCCATGGGACCGTCGGACTCTCCAGACCACCCCCCATTTTCCACCCTTTTCCCTGTTCCTTCCACTTTCCCATTTTCCCCTCAATCCACAGCCCCTCCAGATCAGTGTAGGGGTCCCAACCCTGTGGCAGGAAGAATGTAACAAGGAATCATGGGAGTTGTAGTCTTCCGGGTTCTCACGCATGCTCAAACAATAATGGCCAGTCTTCGCGAACGAAGATTTTGGGAAAGGTCTTTTACCTTTCCAGCCTGCGCAATGGATTTTTTAGGTGAGACACAGCATGTGCTGAACTGAGCCCACCCTTTAACCCTAAGGTTCATCTGCCGGGGCCAAGCAAGCTTGGACAATGGCAGTGAGGTCCTCAGGACATAGGTTTGTTTAGAGTGACCTTCTCATAGATGGATGGCCTCACAGGACTAACGAGCTCCATCTGCCCGGGGGACTGGGATTCGAACCTGGGTTGCAGCAGTGAGAGTCCTGCATGCTAACCACTAGGCCACCAGGGGTCCCTGCTCAAACAATACTTGATTGTCATTGGTTGAAAGATCATGTGACACATTTGAACACTGTACTTAAACAGCTGCTTTGTTTATTAAAGTTAATTCTGCTCTGGCACTCGTTCGTGTCTGAGTGGGGTTCGTGCCTTATTCAACACCTCACAACCCCCACTTTTTTCCCCCCTCTCCCATACCTTCCACATGATCCCCCCACTCCCCAGCCCCGTCATGCTCAGTTTGGGGGTCCCACCCTCCCCTTTCCCCACTCTTCTGACCTCTCCCACCACTTTCTCATCATCCCCCAGACCTCAGATCCCTCCCCCTCCATTTTTGGGGGCTCCCACTCCCCTCCCACTCAGTTTGGGGTCCCACCACCCCTTTATCCCATCTGACCCCCCTTTTCCCACAGACTGCCCCCTTCCCACCCTCCGCTCACCTGAGAGCTCCTTGCCCGCAGCCGGGGGGGCTCCCAGCACCACCAGTGCCCTGAGAAGTCCCCCTGAAAAGGGTTGGGTGGGGTCCTGGTTGGGCTTTCAGTGTGTTTGGGGGTCCTTGGGGAGTTCTGGGGAAGCTTTGGGGGTTCCCAGCATGTTTTGGAGTGAGCTGGGTGCCTATTGAGGGGCAAGTGCCAACCCAAAGCCCCCCCAGGGGGGGTTGACATGGGAGGGGGACACAGGTGGGTCCCTGGGGCTGGTTCTGCCCCCCCCCCCGAACTTGGCTCCCCCAATGGGTCCCCCCAGAGCCCTTCCCCACTGCCCCCCAAATAACCAGGATAGGGGAGAACTGGGAAGCTTTCCTGGGATCACTGGGAGCAGCCGGGCGGAGGCAGAGTGACAGCAGGGGAGAGGGGGTCACACGACCCCCCCAAAATCCTCGTGGGCCGGGGGGGTCCAGGCTGGGCCTGAGGTCCAGGGGAGGGGCTGCGGCCGCCGCCGGCTCAGGAGCTCTGTGGGGAGAGAAAAGGGGGTGACACCGGGGTGGGGGGTCCCCGGGGGGGCACAGATGCTCTGGGGGGGACACATGACCCCCTGGGACCCCCCTCACCTTCTGGCGCAGGTAGAAGCCGAGCCCCAGTGCCAGGGAGACGAAGCCCAAGAGGAAGCTCCCGGCCCCTCCTTCGGAACAATTCCTCAGGCTGATGAAGCCCAGCAGGGCCAGGGCCGCCGGCGGTGTCCGATCCCGGCAGGAAGCGGGGAGGGGCCTGGTAGTGTCTAATAGAAATAAATCAAGGCAGATCTCTCTCTTTCTTTTACCCCCTGGGCAGTGACCATCAAGAGGTGTCCCTGCTTCACAGGAGAAGCTCCACACACTTCAAGAAAGTCTATGGAACAATCTACTCTATTGTTGGCCCTGGGCTTTTATGCTTATCCAGTGATGGATCTCCAGTCACATATTCCCAGGCCAGTGAGCAGCTGATCTGTCAAACTCTGCTTCCAAAAGCAGGATGTGTGTTGGAAGGTTGGGGAACCAGGCTGGGTTTGGCACAATTCAACACTAAACCAACCCCCTGGCACCAGCAGTAACTCCCCACACAGAGCTTGCATTGCTTGCATTCTCCCATCAGATTCTTTTCCAGGTAGAACATCCTGCTACAAGGGGTCTGTTACCAGACCTGGGTTGGGGGTAACCCAGGTTCTTGTTAATGAATCCCTTGGGGTGGATTAGAGTGAAACGACACTGAATAATTGGTATTTGAAAATATATATACGTAGGGTTTATTTTAGAACACTTTTGTTTCAAAGGTAAACAGGTATGTTGCCATTTTGGGTGTTATCATCTATATCTCTCATCTACAGCAATATGGCATAAAGAGAACCTTTAGGGAAAATGCATAAGGGAGAGAAAGGAAAGACAGGATAAGGGTGAGGGAGAGTAAGGGAAAGCAAAGCTGAGAGTGGAATGATGTCTATAGTCACTGCCCACGGGGTCCAGCAATGGAACTTGGTAGTTGCAGCTTCCATGTCTGTGAGTTGAAGTGGTGGCCTTGATCCGTTGGGGGTGGGGGAGGGAAGCTCCCACACTCCAAGAAGTTATGAGTTATTATATCCATGGATGGTGTCCCGGGCCATGCCACGAACCCCCAACATCTCCTGGGCCTGCGCAGAGTTCCCGTGAGGGGCCTGGGAAAAGGGTTTTTCCTGCCTTTCAAGGTTGGCAGAGGGGGGGATGGGCTTTGATGGGCCATCAGAGGTCTAATGCAAAAGTCCTGCAGAAGCCTGCAAAAGTCCCTTGGCAATCCTAGAATGCATAAATCATGAACTATTTCAGTCTCGGACACCACCCTGTGATTTATGCATTCAATAATTTCTCTTCTTTGGTCGTTCACTGTGAATCTTCTTTGTGGGCGGTGCCTTTCGTACAGTGGACAGAAGGAGAAAAGGAAGAGATAGCACAAATCTTTTCCCAATGCCATGCAATTCCCCCCAAAAAACCTAAATCTTACAGTAAAATAGTAAGCATATGTGACATAATAGGATCTCAATAGCTACCATCAAATTTCCTAACATTATCAAAGTTACAAACATCAGGATTTAATACTGACACAAATCTAATTTTCATTAGCCACTGTCTCTACACCATGAGTAGTAGGGATTCTATAAAAATGTGTCTGTTAGAGGGGCCAATGTGTCTTGAAATTGGACCTGAAATTACACATCAGTTTTATGCAAATACATTGAGTTACTTGGGAGTTGGTACAAGGCTTTCTTATATTCTCTTTAGGTCACACTTTCTTTTGTCTAGGTTTAGTTTTATTTCTTAATATTTTGAGACATTTAGCCAAATATAAAATTTGATGCCTTCTGAGGCAGAGGGTTAATGCATCTAATACATATTTGTATGATTCCAAATATGCATAAATTCTTGTTCCAACTCTTAGGCTAAATTTGGTGGAGTTTCTTGGTTCTCAATTGATTGAGACAGAATTACACATATCTAAAAGCTTCTCCCAAGCCAACTTGTTTTTCAAAAAAAAGACAAAATAAACTTGGCAAAAAATTAAACTAGCAATACATAAAATGGCTTGTCTTACACAATCTTACCGATGAGTTACTCATGATAAAAACACAAATAACTCAACAATTATTAATAAGCTGATAATACAAGCAATTTTGGGACTAGAGGAGACACAAACACAGTGTTTGTGGTAAACTTTTACATATTGTAAAACTACTGAGACAAAAATACACACAGATGTTCATATCACAAAGTCATTAAGATAAAAACACAAACACATGCAAACAATCAGTGCTGCAAAGAACAGTAGAACTCTCCAGTCCTGTTGCCACTTCGTTTTCTCATGGGATACTTGTAAACTGATAACAGAAGAAGTTGTGGGGGCAGTTATCTCTTCTGCCCATTGCAGCAATTGAAAGCTTTATTGCTCTCACGCAGTTTGATCTCATCTGCTGGCAGGCTCCTGCGAAAAGAGGAAATCTGGCCCACTACGGACCCATTATTAAAAAGAAGGAATTATCTATTTATCCAACTCCTTTTCTTATCTGGCATGATGCCACTAGGGCAGCAATCATGGAGAAGTCTGGAACGTGTTTTCTCCAAAAAGCAAATAAACCCAGACCATGCTGGAGCTCTTTTTTCTCCTCAGCATCTTTATTTGCTGTAGGGTGGCCAAGGTGTCAGAGGGAATACACACGGCTACTTTTTCTGTGGGAATTTGAAGTCTCAGACTTTCCAAGTGGGTGATAGTATTTGTCTGGTCCACTGTGGTGACATCAGCAATCTGGGCAATCAATTCAGCTTTGTTATGTCCAGCAGCTGTTTGTGAGCCATTGTCAGCACCGAGGTAACTCACTGGCAGCTGCCACTGCCCATTAGGTTAATGGACAGGCCCCCTCCCCCCCGAGGATAGTTTATCAATATATCTGTCTATCTATCTATCTGTAGGGTTTAGTTTGGAACAATTTTGTCTCCATGTAAAGTAGGTTTGGGGCAGTTTTGGCTCCTGTCTAAAGTGAT